AATCTTCGCCGATTTCAATGTATTTTTTCATCCAATAAATCCAACGATCAAAACAGTGCCGAAAATTAAGTTGGGTGGCCAAAAATTGGGACCGAAGTCTAATAATTAGCACAAGAGCTCAATTTTTAGCACTAATGTTTGATCCTTGGATTTATTTTCAAACGATCAAAACAGTGCCAAAAATCAAATTTGGTGGCCAAAAATTGGGACCGAAGTCTAATAATTAGCACAAGAACTCAATTTTTAGCACTAATGTTTGATCCTTGGATTTATTTTCAAACGATCAAAACAGTGCCAAAAATCAAATTTTGTGGCCAAAAATTGGGAACAAAGTCTAATAATTAGCACAAGAACTCAATTTTTAGCACTAACGTTTGATCCTTGGATTTAATGCGTCAAAAAATGCATTGAAATCGGCGAAGATTACGTTGAACAGCACTAAAGTGTTGCCAAAATGATGGGGCTACATGCGAGTGAAAATATTTTCTCGATTGGTTGAAACCGTTGAATCTATTTCAAAAAAGTCTCAAAACTTCTGAACCAACCCTCGTTTTGTGCATAATTTTTCTTTTCGCATTTTCAAATGAGTTCTAGCACTTTTCTTTGCGGTTTTCTGCAGCAGTGCATCGATTCGATGCTGAAAAACTAAGACACAAAGCCTTGAGAACAACATCAACGGCTCAACCACATCACGGATATTTTCCATCCCTTCCAGCGCAACGACGTCAGTGGAATAATAAAATGGGGCCCAGGAGAAGAACAAGCAGAAGACAACTGTGGTCTTGTTTCACTGACACCCGAGACACTGGAAAAGGTTTCAAGTTACATTTCTGCTTGTTGAAAGAAAAAAAAACACGAACCCTCTGAGAGCAGAAGCAGCAGCAGCAGCAACAACACCAGACAAAAGATTTCCCCCATGGCAGCAAAACAAGCTGAACCAGAGCAGCAAAAGGAAAACATCCCAGGCTTCTGAAATGCATCAAGTGTCCTAGTTTATTCTTCAGACAACTTGCCAAATGGAATACATTCTCACGCTGATTTTTCTTGTATTTTATTGCACTTATTGTTGCACAAAAAAATGTGGTGATGGTTCAAATGTTTGACCAGAGGATGATGAAAGACAGTGAGGACCCTAATAAGATTCCTAACATAATTATTTCATATTTTCATTTGAGATGGGGAAAATTTGAGGCGGGGATAATTTTAGACATTAAAAAATTTGAGTTTAAATATTTGTACACAGTCTACTTATGTTCATAATTTTTTTTATCAGATTTTGATGAGATGTTCATAAAAGATATAAAGGGTTCAATACATCTCCTGGTCCTTTACACTTTACTCTACCATAAAACTGTATTTATCTGCTAACTTATCTAATGAGATTTCTTATCCTTATTGCTGGGTGACATCAATGAGTAACTCCTTGGTAATTTCTTATAAAATAATGGTAAGTACTGTGAGATGGGGAAAATTTGAGGCAGGAACAACTTGAGACAGGGATATTAGACAGAAAAAAGTTGAGTTTAAATATTTGTACATAGTCTAATAATGTTCATAATTTTTTTTTATCAGATTTTGATGAGATTTTCATAAAATATATAAGGGGTTCAATACATCTCCTGATCCTTTACACTTTAATACTCTACCATAATACTGTATTTATCTGCTAACTTGTCTAATGAGATTTCTTATCCTTATTGCTGGGTGGCATCAATGAGTAACTCCTTGGTAATTTCTTATAAAATAATGGTAAGTACTGTGAGATGGGGAGAATTTGAGGCAGGGACAACTTGAGACAGGGATAATATTGGACAGAAAAATTTTGAGTTTAAATATTTGTACACAGTCTACTTATGTTCATAATTTGTTATCAGTCTTTGATGAGATGTTCATAAAATATATAAAGGGTTCAAAACATCTCCTGATCCTTTACACTTTACTCTACCATAAAACTGTATTTATCTGCTAACTTATACAATGAGATTTCTTATCCTTATTGCTGGGTGGCATCAATGAGTAACTCCTTCTTAATTTCTTATAAAAGAATGGTAAGTACTAATTTTTTGTCCTTTGCAATCTATGGGGCAAAAAAATAGCATAGACTTCTCCTACTACAGTTCAGCAAGCAATGAGCATGAGTACAAAGAAAGGCAGGTTGTATCATAGAATTTGCAGCGCAAAATTAGGCAAGACTGGTCAGACCTGAATCTAACCTCATTCAGAGGACAGTTGCATAACTCAGAATGGTGTGTGACTCTGCACTGCAGATCATTGAGGATTTGAAAGTAGGAAACACTGAACTGCAATTGGCGTTGTCTGCTATCAAGAAGGAAAAAAAGGATTTTAATGACAAATTACTTATTTGCTGTGCCCATAAATTTAATCTTGAATTTGATCCAGTTTCAAATCAACCCTACATCAAATTGTCCCCATTAAAGTTTTCCCTCTCTCAAATACCCCATGCTGGATCACATTTCCCACTGGGACTTTCATGAGAAGATGTTTTTATCATTTCTCATGTTTGGCAACAAAAAATTGTTTTAAAACATTTTTTCCAATTTTAAGCACATAAAACAACAGAGCAGCAGTCAAGAACCAGACAGAATCTGCCCGTCTGGCATGAAAAGGATGTTACAAACAACAAAAAAACACAAAAATAGCTTTACTGCATGAAAAACATTCATTGAAAATATAGACTCAAAATTTGCCTATTTTGGGAGAATGAAGTAGAGTAAATTAAACAAAAAATTATGTTGACTTCATGTCCATGGGAATAGCTCAATTTGTTTGAGACATCAGGATTTAATAAAATAATATATTTCCATTTCTTCTGCAAAGTTCATTTCTTGACATATTTTCCACCATCTGTTGGGCAGGCTTTTACTTAAATTTTCCATAGATTAAATAGAGGTGTCCATATGTTGGCTCCATTTAGTGCCTTCAAAAAAGACAATTGAACTACAGTATTAAAATTTATTTTACAAATTCTTTGCCTCTCCCCCGACACCAAGAGTTGAAACAGGTGGTAACAGACAGCACAGTTGGTGAACATGCATTATTTTAACTTTCCATTAAGTGACTAATCATTCAGATGGGGTTCCAGACTTGAAGAGATCAATATTAAGGATGGAAAAAATTGGGTTGCACATGGTTCATGCCTTGGAGAGTTTCACAGTGAGAGGGGTATATCAAAAAGATGAAACAGATGATGGAAAGATGAATGAAAAGACGAGGTTCTAAAATGTTATAAAGCAGTTACTGTCAAAAGGAAACGACCTCTAAGATTGATTTTATTCACTTGGCAATTTTCATCATTGATAGGACATATTTTCTGATTCTTGCCAATTTTCTCGAATCGGGATTCTGACCTTTTGATCAAATCTTGAACATAATCCCAGTAATAAACGCAACAACAATTTTTAGCCTCACAATAATGCCAATTATTTTTCGATGTAATTTCGAATTGGACTGTAAGAGCATATTTTGCAACATTTAAACACAATTCGACTCGCAAAATTGGTCTTGATCCGGGTATCGTATACTGTATATATATATTCTATATAGTCATGCTCCTCGTTTCTTTCAGAAATGTGTCTTTTGGCACTCACGTGACATTTGCTGAATGCCGAGCATCAGTGTTTAAAAAAATGGCCGCACGCGCAAAAAGTGAAACCTGAAGAAAAATGCGAAACGGATGGAGGAAATGCAGCAGGAAGGAAACAAAGGCGGCTTCTTATTCCACAGCTACAGCGCACAACGCCGCCCCATCTTCTCTTTAAGGCGTCCCACGAGAGAGGACCGCTTCCGCTGATGGTGAAACCCGAGATCGGACCGCGCGCAACATTGCCTAACGGTGTCGAATTGCCACGACGTTGCCGACGACGTGAGAATCCAGAAACTTGGCAATTCTCATGCTCGACATCATCATCATGTTCCGCACACTATTCAGCGAGCGTCTTGAGAAATGTGAAGAGGACGGAAACCGGCGACTGGGACACGATGGAAACGGGAACGCGGGTGATGGAAAAATTAATGGGGATACGAGTGACACCTATGAAGCAATAAAAAGAAGCAAGTTGCGAACTTGCAAAAGCGCACCTTGGCGGCACCCTCTATGATTAAGCAGATGATGATCACTGCCTGTAAATATGGAAATTCATAAAAAACATTACAGTTTTGTCCTGAATTTCGACTTCGGTATACGTAACACAGAACCTTGCACACCGCGGCTGGTTTTCCAAAGAAATCATAACGGTAATACAACCCGAATTGGCCAATGAAAAAAAAAAAGATTTGTGAACTCATGACGCAAAATGTTCAGAAAACGATATGGCCCAGAAAAGAGGCTCACGACAACTCATCTGATGCAGACGTTAAAAAAATAAACTTGATGCGTACTCATTGATGCAGAAGAACTTACCAGTTTATATATTACCTTAACTGAATAACATACACTAATGTTAAAGAAATATCATTATAGCGTTTTTAAAAACTAATTCATTTGTTTTTGTTGAAAAAACAAAAGCAATTCATAATGCAAAGATAAATACCGTATACATTAATGTACATAGAAGGTGGCACAGAAATGTTTGATAACATTTTTAGTCAAAACATTCAACACTAGGTACTGAAGAACATTAAAATGAAACGAAGACAAATCATCGAACTGGTTTAACTTAGCATCTCGTTAGCCTGATCAGGAAAAATGGTAGGGGGCACCCGGATTTGAACCGGGGACCTCTCGATCTGCAGTCGAATGCTCTACCACTGAGCTATACCCCCTGCGTTGGAATTCCTACTCATCAGGAGTGTACATATTGCTGCTGTATTATGGTTACATATAGCTGCTGCATTACGGTTACTCACCCTCCACTCACGTACATCGAGCATCCACAGCCACACCCTTCACAGAAACCATTCTTCACTTCTGGAATGAAAAAAGAAGGACATTCATTTCCTCTGTATACACTTGATAAATAAAAAATTAAGGAGGCATGAAACAATGCCTAAATGCTTTTATTGTATCATTCCTTGCATGCGTAGGCAGACCAAGAAAACAACAATGCGTGTGCATTTTACTGACTCAGCCAAGGAAAAGAGCCAATCCAATCAATACCCGCCGGGCCACATCATGCAACGTCCATCAAAATACTCCGACAACCAGCACCAGATGTCGTTCGAAAACCACAGTACAGTAGACATACACAGTATACAGTATAACATTCACTATCACGCCGATTCCAACTTCAAACAATGCCCCTCGAAAAAAAAAAATCCTGTGAACGTCTTCTGTTTCTCATTGTCTTCGACGGTACAGTATATGGATCATCACAAACAATCCCCCTTTTATTTTCCAAAATACAAAGAGAAAACTGGACAAAGAGGGGAGGCAAAAAATCACAACTTGAATCGCTCCACCGGAGTAGATGTCACTCCACGTCGGTCGGATTGGTCCTGATCTTTGACGCTCTGAGTGGCAGATCCAACCCCGGAGTCGTCGTGGTTATTATTGTTGCCAGGCGCCGACGAGCTGTGACTGCCACCCAAAATGGTGCTCACTGTGGTTGTGGAGGAGTCGTGGTGCCACGGATTGTGGTGACGCCTGTGGAACCCCCGGGAGAAATCGTCCAATTCTTGCCTGGAACCCGGAATATCTGTGTCGGATTTTGACTTGACCCTAAAGCTGACAGGAATAAAATAAATAAATAATAAAAACCAAAAATCAGAATGTTGATATCCAATGGTCATGCATGAAAATTTTCAACCCCTCAATTGATACTCAAAGAGCAACTTCGTTATTCAGCCACACAACTTTGTCACAAGATGGCAGAAGCAACACAAATTCAATTGCTGCTGCTGCTGGGGTTGATAGCAATATTACTGGAATATAACAAACACAGCATGGATATCTGCTACAAAAGTTTCCATAAAACAGGCTTTTATTCAAAAAATCATTTTCAAAGGTTCAAATAGGGGAAAATTGAACCCCCAATAACTCAATAATGAGGAACCTTGTATTTAGAAAATGCCATCCCATGAACATGTAAAAAATTCACTGTTTTCAGCGCACACAAAATAAAAGGATTAGTTTTCAAAAATAATTAAAATGTAGCTAACTGTGAAAAGTATTGATTGAAGTGAATGCATTGCACAAACTGCATGGAAGAACCTATAAAAATGTATGCATAAATACAGTAGTTTGTGCTCTCATGGAAGACATTCAACCTATTATACTTAGCACCACATGCATAAATCAAAAATGACTAAAGTTTTACAAAAAACCTCAGAGAGCCTTTGTGACAGGAAATAATGATATATAGATAACCAGTGTTTATTATGCCAGATTTTGTTGGAAAGCTTCCAGAAAATAGGCTTTTATTCAAAAACTTGACTGTTGGTCAATGGTTATCAGACCTCAATTAATTTTAAATATATATAAAGCTCTCTAGACATCTCTTGAGTCTTTACACTTGAATACTTACCATTGTAATGTATAATTGATTTATGTCTGACAACTGATAGTGGTAAGGCGATTTCTATTCCTTATTGCTGTGTCTTTCAATAAACACTCCTTGAGAATTTTTTATAGAAGAATGCAAGTGTTTACTATTGTATTCAACAAGTATGCTTGGGCAAAAAAGCATAATTGTATGTTCAACCAACAAGCATCAGAAATACAATGAGCATGAGAACAGAGAGGGGCAGATGCCTTTATACACTCTTTGGTCCAAGATTGGGCAAGACTGGTCAGACCCAGATATGACTTTGTTTTGGGCCTAGTTGCAGAACTTGATGGTGCATGATTTGGTGAGGCAGCATATCATTGGGAATATGAAAGTAGGAAACACACAACTGCCTGGTGTGTTGTCTGCTAGCAAGAAGGAATGACGGAAACTATTTGATGACACAATGGAAAGATAAATAAACTCAAGCATATTTCAAGAAACAAAAGGAGGGAATCAGAATGGTGGGAATCCAAAGCAGTGCAGAAATGTTGTTTCTGAGCCTGCGCAACTGCCAAAAGCCATGATGGCAATAAATTTGCCATCACAGGGGCAATAAGGTTGAAAAGTGGGTCATAAAACTTTGACAGAAAAAACTGTGTTTGCAACAAGAAGACAGGAGTTACCCCCCCCCCCCCCCAGTCTCTCCCACCAACTGAAAGGTGGAAATACTGCTCCAGGAGTTAAGCTTGAGGTTGAGTTTTTGAAACTCAACTTCAACAGAACCCTCTCTGCTTCTACAAAGTTACACCCATTTTTCATGGGAAAGAAAAACCAGATGTCACCCAATAATGAAAAGCTAGAAAGTCTCACCTAAGAACTCAATGTGCTGATTTACTTCCCTGCCTTGTTACTGAGAAGGAACCATTGCCAGAGAAACCAACCCAATTAACTGACCTGGGTATATAAACCCTTGGAAGAAACCTCAAAAACTACTACTCTGCCAAAAATGTGTGATGACTGGACGTTCAATTTGCGCATTGAATTCTCATATTTTCCACAGATTTTATTATAAAGATCCCCTTCTTGACTCATTTTTGACAAAAAAAAGAGCTTGCGCTTTTCTTGGGGTTGGAATCCCCTGTTTGGTTGCATGCCAACCAATTGCCCTGTTTCCATTTTTCACACCTCTCAATCTTCTGAACTGTTTGATCCCTGTCCTAAAATTCTGATTGGATGAGTGGGTTCAATGCTTGATTTCACACACATATCAACAATTCAGTGTATTCAGAGAACATTTAATCATTTTTGAAAAACAAGCAAAATATACATCAACAAGCACTGTAAAATATCTTCATTGAATTGGATTAATTGAAAAAGGGAAGAAATACAGTATTCTATAATTTATGCATTTAACTTGTTGGTGGTTTCATTGGAAACATACAACCAGCTTCACAATGCAAGTGTTTATTAAAAATGACTCAAAAACTTTGTCACAAGAATAAAAAACCTTCAGAGAACCAGAATCACACAGAGGGACACCAGTTCCATGGAGATCCAGTGCTTAATATGTTAGATCATGCTTTTATGTACGAATGAACAAAACACTTTATTTGCCGCTTTTCAGCATTCACAAGGCACAACCAAGACTCCCGCATCCAAACCCCC